CACACACATGCACACACACAAGGCTCTGGCAGCAGCATTGATAGCTTTTGAGCACTGCTAGCTTTGAGTGCTAGTTCACTATAGCGTGTGGAAAATGAGCACTCAGTGAGGTCTCATCTGTGTTTTGTCTTGTTACCGTTTTCCTTCAAAGACCCTTCAGCGTTCACACACACAGACATACATGGCGAGTAGGCTCATCAACCATACTAAGTGAGCCTGTTTAAGACACAGTGGTGCTTTAATGTGGCTAACGGCAGCTAGACATCCTCAGCTGACAGACACAGAGACAGGGGCAGCAGAGACGAGCATATTATACGTTTACTTATACTGTGTAATAGACGTATGCAGAGGAAGGTGTGTTTTATTCATAAACAGATAACTGCTTTTGAACCCCTCTTACAGAGCCCATGTCAGCACTGATAACCATCCTAAGCCTCACAGTGACATTGCCTCGGGCTACGAGGCCACCTGAGGGCTTTAGCGCTAACACATCATTTTCAGGCTGATTATACAAAGAAAGAAAGTCAAAAGCTGCAAAGGAAAAGGTCTGAGGCGAGCTGAGAATAGTCCCCTGAGCACATGTTTGGATATGAAGTTTCAATGCATTAATCTTTCTGCTCTCTCTGGCTCTCCATAGCTGATCACCCCCCATGCCATTCGTGTGCAAACTCCACCCAGACACATCCCAGGGGTGGTGGAGGTCACGCTGTCCTACAAATCCAAACAGTTCTGCAAAGGCACACCTGGGCGCTTCATCTATACAGGTACTACCCACGCACTAACACTTATTAATGACACTAATTTACACTGCAATTTAAGGAGATAATGTGGTCTATCTGCTGGCTTTTCTCATTCAATTTTCTCCAGCATTCTCTCATTTTCTACAAACAACAACTTGCCTTTAGAGTAATGTCAACAAAAGCTATAATCACATAAAAAAACATCACATAGTGGCTTTAACTTTTATTAGGACTGTTTATTTGCAATATCTGCTAAAAGTAACCTATTGCAGTTTAAAAGCTGTCATTCTCTCTACACTGTTTGTGGAGAAAATGTGCATGCTAAACAATTTAAAATTCAATAACACAACTCAATAATTCAGTGAAAAAGCCTACTGATCAGAGGAAAAGTGTTTGCCCTCTTTTATGAAGCAGGTGAAGGTCAGAGGGAGGTTTAACCTTTTGATTAGTGGGATTACTGAGATTTAACCCTGCCGACGGTGTGATTCAAAAAGGAAGAGGTCCACGAGGAGAGTGTGATTTTTGACGGCGAGCTCATGAATAGCTTGAGTGTTACATCAGAGAGTATCGGTGCAGAGTTATAGCCATGCGGTGACAATAGTGGCAGAGAGAGTGAATGTGAAGCAGTGATTAACCAATGCAAGGCCACAGGTCCCAAGGGAGATTGTGAATCACATAAATCTGTCTGTAATCTCAACCACTGATAGATTTAGGCTGTAAGCCCCGGCTGGAATTGCCAACATTTGACAAAATCACAATTGAGAGTAAGCGTGTGCGTCACGTCACCACCATGCATTTTCTGCATCTCATGTTTTTTCCTAATTACTGTGCATGGACGGAATCCATGTCCATGGGTCATAATTATGACTCTGTGTTTGTGTACTTATGGGAAAGGCTGTGCTAGGCTGCTTGTGTTTGTTTATACGTATGTGTGAATGTACTCCAAGCACACACATGCACATTGACAAGTAACTGCATTACTAAGACAGAGGGCAGATGGGTGGGCAGCCTTTGCCATGCCAGAGCTGTCCAACAGCCCACACTCTGCCAAACCCATAGAGCTGTGTGTATATAAGTGTGTGTAGGTGTGTGTGCAGCCTTTTAATGTGCCAGACATGTGGGAACCGTATGCATAAACGCCCTATCTCTTCCCAGCCCTCCACTCTTTCCCCTTGTCACATTCACTTATTCAAAACTTGCTTCTTTGGATGAATTCACCCCCTCTCTCTCCTCTCTCTCTGCCTCTTGGCTTCTATGGAGGCACATAGAAGAATCTCAACAGGTGAGAGGTAGCAAGAGGTCATCCACTGGGAACTGAACTCACACACTGTGTTGCTGCTTGCCAAGCACTGGCACCTTCACGGTGACACAGTCAACCGTGTCGAGGTATAGATCCCAGTTCTACTCTTCACACACTTCACTTCAGCCACTGCTCTGCACCCTCAGTGGGTATTTGTACCTCTCCCATAGCTCCTTAATCAGCCCTTTTTTTATATATAATTCTACACTCTCCTAGCGAGGAATAACCTGCTCATATTTGGTATCTTGAATGAGAGGCAGATTACAACGTGTATTTGGCGCAAAAAAAAGCAATTGAGTGGAGAGTGGAGGATGAGAAAGGGAAGAGAGGGGAAGGATGGGAGAGAGGGATGGAGGATTACCATGGGCCATGTTGCCCTCCTGGGTCTGTTTGGCACCAGTTTGAGCCCAGTTGCCAGTGGGTACTAATCATGGAGGATTGGCAGCACTGCGTGGCAGCTGGCAGCTAGCGCATACACACACACACACGCATCAACACAGCCCCGCACTCACAGACATGCATATACTCATATATTACTTGTGCACGCACGATCACACACACATGCGCACACTGAATTACATTGGGGACAGCTGGCATTGCTAATCAACTTCAGCTGAGGAGAGGAAAGCGAGCAGCTCACAGACCTAATTAAGTCACCACATACCCAATACTGCTGCTACTGCTACTTTGCAAACATTCCCAACACATACACACACACACACACTCTACCCATCTATAGGTTTACCTCCCCTCCTCTTCCCTCTACCCCCCTCTGCGCGATCATTGATACTCCACAACCGCCCGTCGCTGAATGGAAACAATCCAGCCGTAGTTCAGGACAGCGGAGACAAGCAGGGGACTTGGTGCAGAGGAGAATCGGGGAGAAGCTATTACAGTAATGTGTCCTCTGTCGTCTCTGAGGACTCCTCTGCCATTAGACTTCAGAAAGCTCCAATTAGACTCATCAAAGGCAATTAAGCTCTCCACTGATAAGAATAAAAGAATGTTTTTTTTTCATTCTCTGCTCTTCCTCTGTCTTTTTATCCCCTTATCCCCCTTCTGTTCCTCTCTCTGCCCTCTGCCTTACCCACCTCTGGGGCTGAGAGCTCTCCCTAATCTCTCTTTCTCCCTCCCTCCCTCCCTCTCCCTCTCTTTCGCTCTCATTATCAGGTCATTGCCCACCTCCCCTCCCCTCTCTCCCCTGTACAAATGCATCTCCATGTTTGGTTGTGTATCACCTTTTACTGGATTGCTGTCTTTGTGACATTCATCAGAGAAGCTCTCCCTTTTCTTTTCTCCATGCAATATAGAGTGATAATGCTCTCTGCCACTAGGGCCCACGTGTGTGTGTGTGTGTGTGTGTTTGTGTGTGTGACACAAGGATGCTGGTCATAGATTGGGGGAGTTGATGAATCACCCATGTCGTTCAAAAGGCAATCCCTCCCTCCTCAGTATGCAGCCTTGTCTGCTTAGTGCTTCCGCTACAGCTTCTGCTGATATTAAAAGGCTCTGCTGGCTCACATTAAGGCCGGCACCATGCGCACCAACACGCATCCGCACACACACACGCACAAACATTAGGGGTAGTTTTTCAGTGCTGAGTGCAGATTAGGTGTGTAGGAAACATCACTCAGTTGCAGCGAACAGCAAGGGAAAAGACAAAAGTCAAGAACAGAATTTAAACCAGCCGGGATGCTGCTGACATTTCTCTCCGTCTCTCTCTCTGCCTGCCTCTGTGCTCCAAATTAGTTTTAGAAGTAGAGGAAGGACTGTCAGTTGTCTGTCATTTTATACACTGCAGACGCTGGAGTGAAACACAAATGATGCCACCGTAATTGTTGTAAGCATGAACATGCTCTGTAAACTTCTGATTTATTTTAGCCCTAATTAAGCTGTTCCACACAGCAATGAAACCTGCCTGTCAAACACTGAAAAAGATTGTTTAGCTAAGATGGTGCCTGAGTACTTACAAATTAGTAATATATCTGATGTTAATTGTGTTGATATCATAATGTTGGTGCAATTTGACAGAGAATCAGTGAGAAAGATACAGATATATTCTACATTCATATGCACGTGTGATACACCTACTTGCACGCATGAGTACGTTCACACATCACATACACGCAAATACAGCGTGTAGTCATCTGGCAATAAAAGTGGGGTGCAACCACGAGCTGGACAATTACTTGTCTTGCTCCTATTTGTGAATGCTCTCTTTTATTGAGCTTGGGTGGAGGCCTGCTGTTGATTAAAACGGCTGGTTTCCAGCTGGAGACAGGGCCAGCTGAGATAGCTGCACACATTCACATTTACTGAGCACAGTCTTTAACAGTGAGGAAATGCACACCTCTATTTGAGATTGAGATTAATTTTCTGCACCATGTGGCTTGTCTTCTCTCTTTAGCATGCTCCGTTCTTATTATAGGAGCATCTGGTCCATGATGATGATGTAAATGAATTTAGAACGTAGATTATTTTATACCCTGCTGAAATGAGCGCCGTTCGCTGGGGGAATGATTTCTTATGTTTCCTTATATCTTAATTCAAGCGTGCACTTTTCCTCCAGATTTTCAGAATTTGTATTCTCCCACTGAGGATCCGTGCTGTCAGGTATTGTTAACTGTCGACATGCACTTTTTGCAACACATAATTAGAGCTTAGGTTGTAGTAGCATCCACATCTCCATTGATTTGTAGAATCTCTTAGCGCCCCCCCTCCCTC